GGTTTTGATATTGACAAACCGTCGGGAACATGGAACAAAATGAAAAGATAGAAAAAGTTCTTTGAAGAAACAAAAAGCACAAGAACGGCATTGACATTGCTAAAGATGGCGACATTGGCGCTTTGAAGACGTATTCTAAAGACTTAGGTTTTATTGTAACAAGCTCATTCAATTTCTCTACGTCATGGCTCAAAACAAAATATCTTTTTCATGCATCAAATTAGTGTTTTCATAAATGGTTTTTAAGTTTCTAAAACCCATGGTTCTTACTTAACCAAAACCATAACCATCGGTTATCGGCGTTCGGCTATGGCGTTCGGTTTTCGGCATTGGTTATTGGCATTGATTTTAACCAAATGGTTTTTGGGTTTTTATCTTTGGTTTATGCTCCTGGACACATTTAAAGGTTTTACAAATGATTAATTTTCAAAAACCATAACCTTTGTTTTTCGGCGTCGGTTATCGGCATTCGGTGCCGGTTATCGGTGTTGGTTTTTGGTGCCCAAATCAATCAAGTGGTTTTTAAGATTTTATGATTGGTTTTTACTTTTGGGCATATCCAAATAGTTCTCCAACAAAAACATGTTAAAAACCACCTTTCGTTTTTGGTCTTTTGGTGAAAACCATGTAGAACGGCATAAACTTGGCTAGCCGTGGTTTTTACCTTAATGAAGTGGTTTTTACGTTTTTATACTTGGTTTCTACCTAAAATACATTATATAAGAGTTTCCAACACTTGGTTTTCATTTTGGAGATTTTTGGTTTTTGACATCGGTTTTCGGCGTTGGCTGCCAAACCATGGTTCTGGCAAACCATCCCGACATGCATGTCGGAAATCCCGACAGCGATGTTGGCCTTCAGAAGCCCAGGGCAGTAAGTTTTTGAACAGCGATGTTTTCAAATGACCGTTGGGCTATTTAAGACAAAATCTTTCCATTTTTGAAAGTCAAACACCCCAACAGCGATGTAGACTTCTAGACATCGATGTTTTGGTGACCGTTAGCCATTTTTAAAGGAAAGTCAAAGCCAGAACAGCGATGTTCACCTTAAGAACAGCGCTGTCGGGCTAGATTTCAGCAGATCCACTTTTATTTGATTTCCACAAATCATGCCAATCAACCCCAATATTCTCCCAACCGTTGCACCTTGTTTTTGGGTATAAAAAGGGGTCTCTTGGGTCTACTTTTCATATCCATTCCTCACACATTTCATAGCTTTACATTGCATCATTCCATAAACTTTTTACATAGCTTTTTAGAGCCATTTCTTGAGGAATTGAGTGTGCTCTTGATCTAAATTAGTTTACTCATATTCTACTCTTTAAGAGAGTTTTTGTTCTTGAGTGGTTAAGTGTTGTGAACACTTTAAGGGAGGTTTGTCCCTTTGGTTGTACGAAGGAAGGGCATATTCCTTCGAGTTGAAGTCTTGGAGTGCGGTATCTCCGAGCAAGTGTATTGAGGCTCGTGGGACTCGAGTTCTCAGGTTGTAACGGTTTGTTAAGCACCCGTAAGCTTAACGGAAGTAGTGTAGCTCGAGAGAGTCTCTCGGGAGACTGGACTAGCCACACGTTGTGGTGAACCAGTATAAATCTTGGTGTGCTCTCTTTACGCTTTTTTACGCTCTTTACTTTTTACGTTCTTTACTTTATCCCTACGATTTTTATTCCGCGAAAATTTAAAAACATTCTCGTGCCTCACTATTCACCCCCCCCTCTAGTGAAGGGCACTTATTCTAACACTTTCTCTGTATTGTTTCTATAATATCACATTCGACATATGCATGGTGGAAGAAGTTTTCTCCAACATTTCATGATCAGTGGATGTTATGTCCACATAATTTTAATGTGGACGTGACTTTGAAAATAGTAGAATTATAGTCACAAACAAATTTAAAATCTTGGAATTTTAAATTGACCCATTCGTATTGAGATCTTGGCAATGAGACTTTTTGCTAATGTCCATATCTCTCTTGGAGATTATCCCATAACTCCTTTGGATATTTCACTAATAAATATTCAGATTTTAAGCTTTCATGAAGATGGTGGTTAAGGAAAATTATGGCTTTTGCCTTTTGCTGAGATGATGATATTATTTTTTCAGCAAGTATTTTCTAGGCCATTTGCCTTTAGGTGAGCAATGACATCAACTCTCCATTCCAGGTACCTTTGACCGGATAAATCAAGAATGTCGAATTTCCTTTTGGTGATGTTGGTCATTGAAAAAACTAAAAACTAATAAAATTGGATATATTAGATGTTTTAAAATAATAAATATTGGGGCACAAAAAAATACCCAAAGAAATTTAATCTTGAAATGTTATTTGTATTTTTTATGAATTTATTTTAACCAATATAAGGTGTAGTAACATTTTTTATATATATAATTTTTTTTATCATAAGTCCTGTAGGTCTTATAAAATATAAATAAAGAAACCAAAAGAATCAAAATAAAAAAGTATCCCACTGACGGAATGATTGTAATCAAGCATCCATGTAAATTTATCTATTTATTATTATACACTCAAATGCATATATGTCCCAACTTCATTTTTTTACTTTTCAATTATATGGAGTATTATCTATAAGGAATCTTTTGACTAGTCATAGATAACAAAATAAAAATAAAATTGACATGTAAGTTGTAATAGCATAGAAATATTTCATCAATCCAATCCAATGAGATATATAATGATTCTATGGTATTACTTGTTACAATTCTCGTACGGATTACAACGGACGGGGAAGATAAACGGCCCCGGAAAATAAAAATTAATATAATTTTGAATTTATTATTTATTCAGAATATTACAAAATAAACAAAGTTGAAAATAAATTGCTATATCTTCAAACGACCTTGTTGTACGAGGACATTAAGGACTGGACAGCGAGGACGTTAAGCACTGGACAGCGAGGTCTTTAAGCACTGGACAGCGATTCAAGGACGTTATGCACAGGGCTGCGAGGATATTATGCACTGGGCTGCAAGGACATTATGCACTAGAACAGAATGCAGCGAGGTCTTTATGATTTGAACCGGCAAAACACAACACCGTGGAAGGACAACAGAGTCGCTGGAGCTGTCCTTAAGGTAGTAGTGCCCTCCTACCGTACTGGAAAAACGTGGGCACTCTCCTCCCAGGATAAAACCGCTATTGTGTGTGGAGATTGTACGAACCAACCACACACCAACGAACAAGAACAACGTAGGAACGTTGGCGACCAAAAACTTTAAAGGGGATGGCCGGAAATTTGACCGGAAAACCAAGAGCTCTCTCAAAAAAATAAACAAGAAAGATTTTCTTTCTTTTCCTTTTTGTTTCTCACGTGAAGCACTCAAGGGAAAAGGAGAGACCCTTAGCTTTTTATAACTAAGCTCTTTTTTAAAAAAGTGTAACCTCCACACTATTAAAGCTTAGTATTAAACATGGCATTTGTGGTGTGTTAATGGTGATTAATTAGCCATTAACACGTCCGTTACGCTACGCTCCGTTTAAAATTTGTCCCGAATAATTGGAGATTAATGGCCAGTTAACTCCGTAAAAATGGACTAATTTAAACAATACGTAAAATTAATAAAAGAAGATTGGTTCAGTAATATTGCAAAAAATTGCAATCCTCACCATATTCTTTTATTAACGGGTTAACTTTGAGAATCAATTTCTCATTAACCCTCTACCATTTTTGGCGTAATATTTGTCAAAACATTTATCTCATTTAAGAGGAAACACGTCCATTAATTAACGGTAAAAACCGTTAGTGGACCTAATGACAAATATACCCAAGTTGGTCCATTTAATGCCTATTAAAAATGCCAAAAATTCCAACAATCCCCCACATGAATGAAAAATTGATTTAGGGGTCGACAACATCCCACAGTTGAAAACTTGCAAAGAACATGTAAGTGTCTCCACTTTTGAACATGTCCCAACATTTCATATGGAAGAAATGACCGACAAGTCATCTTGCGCTACAGAAACTTGACATGACGGCGAACACATTTGCTATCATATGGTATGTGTCTAAGGTTGGTTTGCGGCAAGACAAGAGTACCAACACGGGTAAAACCAGCACCCTGTGCGCGGACGTTCTGCGAGAGTGTTTAGAGGATTAAGCCCAAGATCCTCCATTTGAAGCGACCACACTTCACTCTTACATAGGTGATTCTTTAAGAGTATCCCGATAACTCCCCTTAGACCACCGTGTCTATTGGTTAAGAATCATTAAAGCATATTTATATGCTAACCTCATCATTTTCGGGAGTCACTGTCTTCAGCAGGAACAGAAGGGACTGACCGAAGGTTCCGGTACCGCCCCCACAGTTACCACGCTTAATGGTAAGTTTAGACATATTCGTCGTAGACACAAAACCATTAGACAACTTCTCATAACTGGGATTATCACAATTGACTATGTGAAGTCAAAAGATGATCCGGCGGATCCGCTAACCAAACGGTTAACAAATGAGTTGCATGAGAAGTTGGTGGCAGGAATGGATTTGAAGCCCTTGTGCTAGGACAGTCTTATGAAGGAAAACCCAACCTGGCTAGTACCCAGGTTCAATGGTTCCACGGTGTTGTGTTTTGCAGGTTCAGTTCATAAAGACCTCGCTGCATTCTGTTCTAGTGCATAATGTCCTCGCAGCCCTGTGCATAACGTCCTTGAATCGCTGTCCAGTGCTTAAAGACCTCGCTGTCCAGTCCTTAATGTCCTCGTACAACATGGCCGTTTGAAGATATAGCAGTTTATTTTCAACTTTTTTTTTGTAATATTCTGAATAAATTATAAATTCAGAATTTTATTAATTTTTATTTTCCGGGGCCGTTCATCTTACCCGTCCGTTGTAATCCGTACGAGAATTGTAACAATCTTAAGGTAGTAGTCATATCCGTGCACGATGGCGAGTATGGACGGATTCGGTTTTGACGCTCACACCGGAAACGGGAGTAGTTCCGAGACTCCGGTTGTGAACGTTTCGGTTGGATTGGGTGGCTCTGTTGGGTAGACCACTCCGATCAACATTCCTTTCGGATCGAGTGCGGCCATGGGATCCACTCCGATCATCACCTTCGTCGGATCGAGCGCGACTATGGGGTCCGCTCCGGTCACCTCGATTATTGGACCAACCGCGGCTATGGCCGCAATGGTCACCCCACTCGGACCGAATATGGCTTCGGCCATACCGGTCATTCCCTCACTTGGACTGAACATGGGTGTCTTCACATCTGCACCGGTCGGACATCCTACTGTCATGCTGCCTGCGAATTTTGTCAAAGAACTGACAAAGTTCACAGGTGTTGGCTTTAAAATATGGCAGCAAAGGATGTTATTTTGGCTGACCACCCTCAACCTTGCGAGGTACTTGAGGGAGGATCCCCCTGTTGTGGGGGAGAACGCGGACGAGCCAACACTTCAAGCCAATGTGGTGGAGCATCCACTCAAAGAGGGTTCTTCCAAAGGGCCTTAGCCAAACAAGGACAAGAAGAAAATTGGTCCTAAAGAAGACAATTTTATCTAGCAATTATTTGTTAAATAAAATACCACGAAAGCAACTCGTTAAGACTCCTTACGAGTTGTGGTATAATAGGAAACCTTCCTATAAATACCTGAAAGTGTTGGGGTGCCTTGCAAAAGTTTTAGCACCACCACCAAAGAAAATAAAGATTGGTCCAAAGACCGTTGATGGAATCTTTATTGGCTACAGTGGTAGCGCGTATCGATTCTTAGTGTATAAGTCTGATAATCCAGAAATACATAAGAACACGTGCAAAAGATTGTTACAATTCTCGTACGGATTACAACGGACGGGGAAGATAAACGGCCCCGGAAAATAAAAATTAATATAATTTTGAATTTATTATTTATTCAGAATATTACAAAATAAACAAAGTTGAAAATAAATTGCTATATCTTCAAACGGCCTTGTTGTACGAGGACATTAAGGACTGGACAGCGAGGACGTTAAGCACTGGACAGCGAGGTCTTTAGGCACTGGACAGCGTGGTCTTTAAGCACTGGACAGCGATTCAAGGACGTTATGCACAGGGCTGCGAGGACATTATGCACTAGAACAGAATGCAGCGAGGTCTTTATGAACTGAACCTGCAAAACACAACACCGTGGAAGGACAGCGGAGTTGCCAGAGCTGTCCTTAAGGTAGTAGTGCCCGCCTACCGTACTAGAAAAACGTGGGCACTCTCCTCCCAGGATAAAACCGCTATTGTGTGTGGAGATTGTACGAACCAACCACACACCAACGAACAAGAACAACGTAGGAACGTTGGCGACCAAAAACTTTAAAGGGGATGGCCGGAAATTTGACCGGAAAACCAAGAGCTCTCTCAAAAAAATAAACAAGAAAGTTTTTCTTTCTTTTCCTTTTTGTTTCTCACGTGAAGCACTCAAGGGAAAAGGAGAGACCCTTAGCTTTTTATAACTAAGCTCTTTTTTAAAAAAGTGTAACCTCCACACTATTAAAGCTTAGTATTAAACATGACATTTGTGGTGTGTTAATGGTGATTAATTAGCCATTAACACGTCCGTTACGCTACGCTCCATTTAAAATTTGTCCCGAATAATTGGAGATTAATGGCCAGTTAACTCCGTAAAAATGGACTAATTTAATCAATACGTAAAATTAATAAAAGAAGATTGGTTCAGTAATATTGCAAAAAATTGCAATCCTCACCATATTCTTTTATTAACGGGTTAACTTTGAGAATCAATTTCTCATTAACCCTCTACCATTTTTGGCGTAATATTTTTCTAAACATTTATCTCATTTAAGAGGAAACACGTCCATTAATTAATGGTAAAAACCGTTAGTGGACCTAATGACAAATATACCCAAGCTGGTCCATTTAATGCCTATTAAAAATGCCAAAAATTCCAATATTACTATGTATATTACGAGAGAAAATATTATATACTCCCTCCGTCCCGGAGTATTCGTCCAGTTTTGACTTTTGGAACTATTCATCTAAGTACTTTGACTCATCAAATTCTCTCAATGTGTAAGCCTAAATATAGTCATGTGTGATCGTGTTTGATTTGTCTTAACATATAGATTATTAATATATAATATCTATAATTTTTTAATATACAAATTACAAGATAAAATGGATTAAAGAAGTGCATTGGATGGTGTGTAAAAATGAAAGTGGACAAATACTCTGGGACGGAGGTAGTAGTATATAACTAGAGTTTTGTTTTTTTCCTGTAAAGCTGAGTTGTTGTTGTTGTTGTTATTGTTGTTGTTGTTATTATTATTATTATTATTATTATTATTATTATTATTATTATTATTATTATTATTATTATTATTATTATTATTATTATTATCACCTTGGTGTATAAGAAGAAGAAAAATAGCAAGAGGCATATAAATTTGATCCATAGGTAGGATTTTGTGTGTGGATGTGTGTGTGTGTGATTTATTCTTTTATTTTTAATATATCTATTTTTATTCTTTAACTATGAATTTTTGTTGTGAAGGATCCCAGTTTTTGATAAATCTTAGAGCATACTTTTCATATTTTTTCAGAAAAATATTTTTAGTTTGTTTACAAAGAAAAAAAAATGGATAAATATACCTTATCAGCAGAACAAGGTTTCTTGGATTTTGATCAAATTCGTGCTGATAACGTGTTATAGAATAGAAGAAAAATACTCAAATATTATAAAGATGGATATGATATATTTCTGATTTTTTTCTCTCAATTAATTCTTCACTCTTCTTCATTTTTTTAATGGTGTTTGGCATGCATCCTAAGCCTCCTATTTATAGTGGAGAGGCTTAGTGGTAACACTATTACGAATAGTATACATATTATACAAATGGCAACTTGATGGTGATGAAAGACAATTTGTTCCTGCAACTATGGTGGAGCATGACATAATTAATTGATAAATGAATAATTTATATATTTCTTAACAAGTTCATTATTATTATTCCCTCTGTTCAAAAAAAGGCTCCTGTTTTGTTTATGATGTTAGACTGAATTTATTTTTATGTCAATATAAGTAAAAATAAGTGTAGAATTAAAAAATAAAAATTATATATTGAAAAACTACATCAAAAGTTCAAGAAAATAATGATGACAATGTTATTTTATTTTATCAAATGGCTGATGAAAATATATAAAAAATAGAATTAGTTTGACTTGTGAATAGTAATAACAAATCTTTTTTTGGATAGAGGAATACATGCATTGAAATGATTGAATGAATACTGTTTTTATTATATCTTTTTGTTTTATATGTAAAAATGAGACAAGATGCCATGTGGCTTGCTTATATTCCCTTTTTAAACATCTTATATGTCATCTAATTAATGACATGAAAAATATGAAATTAAAAGTTTGGTAAGAAATCTTTGAGTAAATTTAAATATGGAAAATAAATCTTTCTTTTTATGATAATATTGTTTCCTAATTCTATTAATCCCTTTTATGATAATATATTTTATGGTAAAATATAAGAATATTAAGGAAGACACCCCGGTTATGAAATCAACCCTGGTTCAAACACTAGGATCAACTCTAGGAAGCAAGTCAATTCTCTCCAAAGCATCTGGAGAAAGGGAAATTCCAGCACCGAAAATCTTAGAAGAAGGAGCAAAAGCCTACTATGAAGAAGAATGATCAAAACAATGATCCAAGCGGTATTCTAGTTAATTAAGGAAGACACCCCGGCTTAGAAATCATATGCGAGTGTTGTGGGGAATCAGGATGATGAGTTGGATCTAAAGTACATCCCCACTACAGAGGTAAATGGAAATTTTGTGGCTAAACTTATGAAGGATGATGTAATTGAATCTATATCATATTGGGATGCTACTCTCGAATGTTGTATTCTTGGAGCAAACCCACCACTGGAGGTGGTGAAGGGTTTCGTTAACAGAATCTTGAATACATATCCTATTGAAGAGGTCTCTTTGTTGAAATAAGGTCAACTCATTCTTTCATTCAAAAGTGTTGTAGATAGGGATGTTGCTATCACAAGGAAGTATTATATATAATTTTGATAATAAGCATGCTCTAGTTCAAAAATGGTACCCTGGTGTGAAGATTTATCTGGATCAGCTGGATGATGTTCCTATATGGATCCAATTCCCAGATTTAGATATGAGGTTCTGGAGTCTATCTGGTCTTAGCAGGATAGGGAGTCTTGTGGGAAAATCTATCAAGAGAGATAGACGTACTGGTAATAAGACTAAGTACTCTTATGCTAGAATACAAGTGGAAGTAAAAGTCCAGCAAGAATTTCCACAAATGATTACCTTTATAGATGATGAGGATAAGGTTATTACTCAGCAAGTATCATATGAATGGTATCAGGTTATTACTCAGCAAGTATCATATGAATGGTATCCTTGTATTTGCTCCCATTGCACTCCAAAACCTTTTTTGATGGTTTCAAATTGTTGGAAAAGGTTCATCAAGATTTAAAAAAAAGATGAAAATATTACACAAGGTTAGACGTGACAAAAAATGGCCATATCTTTTTTACCCGAGACCTGACACGAAAATACTCCCTCCGTTTGGGAAAACCCTTCCCACTTTGAAAATAAGGCAAATTAAGGAAGTGTAAAATTATAGTTGACTTCCAATTTTGCCCCTGATGTGATGGGTAAAAGTAAGATGTGATGGATTGATTATTAGAGAAAAAGTATGATGTGATAGGTAGGGTATGAAAAAGTAAGGGTAAAAGTGGTTTTTTAATAGAAAGGGGAAGTGTTTTGTTGGAAGTGAAAAAAATGAAAGAGGAAGTGTTTTTGAAAACGGAAGGAGTACAAGATTTTGAACAAAGGTTTTATTGATCGAATTCGAAATTGACCAAACCTGATCTGACCGACCTGCAAATCTTAGAGTTTTTTTTCTTACAATTGGTATGTTTAATGCTTGTGGGGTATTATAATTATTATTTTTCTTTCTCCTAGTATATTGTAACAAAATTTTAATAATATTACAAAGTTATCTCATTTTTTTCAAAACTTATGCATTTTTATTCTTTATATTGAATTATATATCTAAAAATTACATAAGAATTTAAAATAAGATAATCTAATAGATTTAATACATATTTTTTAATATTTTAATTTTATTGAATACAAAATGTAAGAGTTAATATGAAATTGGGTCATGGACATGCATCTCGCAACTCGAACCTAAATTGACCTGAACTCGAAATAACCCGAAGCTGAAGTGACCGAATCGAACTCGACTTGGCCAACCAATTTTCTCTACACAAGGTCAACAAAACTAGAGTGGAACTAAAGTCTACCAAATATTTTCCTCCATGATGAAAGTATTTGCCTCCAAGATATGATTTATACATGTGATTCTCTTCTAAAAGACGATGTTGCATAGTTGTATGTCTTCCCAGATAACTTTTGCCCACAAGCATCAAACATACCAAATGTTACAATGTACTATATTTTGATCTTTTGTATATATGTTTTGTTGACTCCTAATTTGACCCTCTCATGCCTTCTTTATGACTCTATTTTTTGGTATGAATTAGGTCATGTCTGCAACGTGTACATGTAATTGAGTGTGAGGTGTCTTGTACGGACTAGTTTTAAATTATTTTATTTTACATTATACTATATTTTTTATAAAAAAAATTACTTTATTTTATATAGGGCGAGATTTCCTTTAGCCGCGTATGATATG